TAAACAAATAAATTGATGTACTTATTTGGAAATGCGCGCATGTTACTTTGTAACACAAATTGAATGTCCACCATGCTGAGCTCCCCTCATTTGTCGTATGTATTATATTATTTATTTTACTGTATTAGTATTAATATTATTGTACAAAGTATCACGTGATCGTTTCATAATATCTTGGTTTTGCGGATATCTTGATTTAGCAGATAATATCGCTAAATCGAGATACAATGTGTATAAAATTTGATTATTGTTTATCCAATTGAATTATTTTACAGAAATTGATAAATTGATTAAAATTGATAGATTATCAAAATCTAAATTATTTATTTTTTTGTTTTTTTTAAAATAAAAAATAACCAAAAAATATCTGTTAATAATAAATATGAAAGTCCTCTAACATCTCAATATGCTTCACCAGAAATGATGGTGCTTTTTTCTCCAGCTAATCATTATTACATTTGGAGAAAACTTTGGTTGAAATTAGCTATAGCTGAAAAAGAGTTAGCATTACTGAAATCCAGTAACAGCACAAACATATTCGCATAAAGCTGATGTGGATATTTTGAATGTGATTAGTTCATTGGGTCAACAGCTCATAAAATAGCTACAGATATTAGGCTGTTGGAAAATCTCAAAGAGATAGAAGAACCATTCGAGAAGGATCAAATAGGTAGTTCTGCTATGGCATATAAAAGAAATCCTATGCAATGTGAAAGGGTTTGTAGTCTGGCTAGACATCTGATGACACTCAATAACAATGCCTTGATGACCAATAGTGTACAATGGTTAGAAAGAACTTTAGATGATAGGTTTGTTTTTATTATTGTTATATATAACATTCAAAGAGATTAATTTATAATTAAAATTAAAAAAAAATATATATATATATATATACAAAAATGTGTGTGTGTTTGTAGTGCCAATCGACGAATTTCACTTCCTGAGGCATTTATTACAACAGACATAATCCTAACATTATTGCAGAATATATCGGAAGGACTTGTAGTCTATATTAAAGTTATAGAACGTCATATAGCACAAGAGTTGCCTTTTATGGCAACAGAGAATATTATAATGGCAATGGTGAAAAAAAAAGAGGATCGTCAGACATGTCATGAAGAGATTAGAGTCTTAAGTCATCAAACTGCAAAAAAAGTCAAGGACGATGGTGAAGAAAATGATTTAATTGAGAGAATTAAAAAGACTGAATATTTAAACCAATTTGGGATGAGGTAATATTCATAAAATTTTTTTTTGTTTGCTCTCTCCCTTTAAGATGGGAGATAATCTATTTAATATACATATATATTTATTTATACAATCAGCTTGAATCATTGCTGGATTCAAAACATTTATTGGGCGTGCACCACAACAAGTTGATAAAATTTTAAAAGAATATGTACAGCCATCTCTTAAACCTTATTTGGAAGTTTTAACTAATGCCAAACAAGCAATTTTAAATGTTTAAAAAACCATCAAAATAAAAAATTATTAGAAAATTTAAAATTGTGTATATTTTATATATGTACGTGCATGTGTGTACATTTTTTTTTACAAAATAAACAAATATTAAAACAATTGTATTAATTTTATTTCTAATTTTATTATTCATTTTTCACCATGTTGTGTCTATCAACATGCGATTTTGCAACTTTTCCTAATAATTTAACTTGATTGGCAACATCTCTAAGTGCGCTAAGGACTAATCTATTACCTTTAACAAAACCATATAGATGATATTGGAGGTTGGCTTCTTGACAAAATTGCATCACCAATGGTTGACATTTTCTAAGATTGTGTCTTGGTATTCTTGGAAAAAGATGGTGTACAGCTTGGAATTGCAAGCCACCATGAAACCAATCCATCCACCAAGGACAATCAACATCCATAGTTGTGCGTAACATTTTTCTTGAGAATGATTCATTGGCACCAAAATCTTTTGTACACATACCAAAATGTGATAGTGTGATTTGTACATGCAACAACATTGTTACACTATGCGATATTAAGATGTAGATTATTCCTATATAAATATTTGGTAGAAAAGATAATATGAATAGGTACCATGACCAGAATGTTATCATGCCACATATTTCCAAATTTCTAAATAGAACATTTTCTTCATTTATCAAGAAATTGACTGACAGGAAATAAAGATTAAATTTACCAAAACACAAGATTAGGTAATAGGTGAAATGTTGGTAAGAGATCAGAAGTTTTGCTATTGGACCAATTTCCATTTTCCTTTTATAAAAAGTTGAATATAAACCTCCAAATAGTTTTGCTGTGATGGCAAAAAATGGTATATGTTGAATGTTGGGATCATGTTCAGGATGATTTGTTACAATATGATGAACATAATGATTTCTTTTCCATCATCCATTACTCAAACCACCACAAAATGATGAGATGAACACACTGATCAGATTATCAATGACTAGGTTGTGTGTTATACCACTATGTCCTGTATCATGTGCTGTGAATGCAAATTGGTGTCAAAATGCTCCAAGGAAGATTGCACTTAATATATAGTAGGAATAATCATTGTTTGGGTTGTTTAATACTAGATACAGTGTGATTCAAAAAAAATGGTGGTCGCAAAAATATTACATAACTCAACGATTACATAACATAATTAAATAAAA